GGTCCTTCTCTGAGGTCCCTTCCAATCCCAGTGCTCCAGGGGAGGGATGGAAAAACTGCATAAAAAGCAGCATTGTTTGAACTGGGCCGCTTTCTGCCTTGGGGTTAGTAACTGCACTGTCTTCCAGAAGCTCAGCAGCTTTAGACAACAAAGGCTACCATTCACTTCCTACTTGCTAGCTTAGCAAGTGGGATTCATCAATACCTTTTGCTTTCTTTATATACCCTTTTATTTTATTATTATATTCATTGATTTATTCTTTTCAATTTAATCATCTGCCAACATCCTCTTTTTGTTTAGTCTATTTTGATTCTTTTCAAATCTGTGCTTTCTCTTACAGTGCAGGGAAGCACAGCATAATTATATTGCATATTATAATATAGATTTTTTATAGGAAAACACATATACATTTATATATTTATTCTATTTATTACATAAATACATACATACAAACATACATACATTACATAAATACACATACATACAATTATCTTAACATCTACATATATTGCATAAAACTGATAGATAACATTACAGAAGAAGAAGAGACAGATTTGCCAGCACACCAAGACAAAGACAAGACACTATGAAACATACTATAAAGCCTGCTGGAAAGCCTTCAGGGAGGGGTGGAAAAGGGCTCAGAGGGAGAGCTGTAAATTCCTCCACCCCCCTCAAACTGAGACGCAGCCTTTTTGCTACAACAAGCAGGCATAAGGCTTCCACTAGTACAGGCAGCAAAGAGAGGGGAGAAGTGCCAGTTCCACTGCCTGTGCCTGTGTCTGCATCCCCTCCAAAAGCATCAGCCATAGCCCACCTCCCACTATCACCATGACAACAAGCACCAGTGTGACAGCCTCCTCCACCCTCATTTCACTTTCCATGCTGAGCCTTCCAGCACCAGAGGAAGAGCTGGAGCTGGAGCTGGAGCTGGATCTGAGTGCCCCAGCAAGGGAAATTCTGGGCAAGGAGGGGAAATCATCTGAGTTTGTGCTCCACACCCCTCAAGTTTCTCCTAGAGCCAGGTCTCCTTCCCCAGAAGACACTTCAGAGGAGGATGAGATAGAGGTTACGGAGACAAGCAGCTCAGATGAGTCCATTCCTCCTGTTGCTCTGTCTCTGCCTGATGAGGAGGGGGAAACTGCAGCATCCACACATACACCTGCACCCCAGAAGCGAGTGGGTAGTGTGGCCTGGGATCATTTTGAGCTGGCAGATGATCCCACATATGCTATCTGCCTGCACTGCCAACCCAAAAACAGCCCGGGTAAGGGAACAAAACACATGAGCACCACGGGGATGCTGATTCATCTCCACAGGCACCACCCCCCTTGTCCTTGCTCCTTCTCAGCCTGGCACCAGTGAAAGCATGCCCAAAGGGAAGTCCCCCTCTTGCTTCAAAGCCCCCATTCCCCCAAAGCAGAGGAAGGCCACCCTGGAACAGTCAGGGAAAGGCAGACAGGAAGTGGAGTACATTGGAAGGGTGAACAAGATCACCCAGAGCATTGGAGAGATGCTTGCTGTGGATGGCCAGCCCTTCTGCTTAGGGTTCAGGCAGCTCATGGCACTTGTGGTCCCATCCTACCAAGTGCCTGCTACAGGATGGTGGAGCCCTCCCTGTATGAGGCATGCAGGGAGTACTTGAGAGAGGAGCTGCACAAGGCAGGTCCACAGGTGGCCTTAACACTTCACCTCGGACATCTGGAGAAGCCAGGGTTGAGGTCATGCATACCTCTCCCTCACAGAGCACTGGTGCAACCAGTCAGGATGTCAGGGCTCTCCTTCAAGCTGAGGTGATAGATGAGTCCCACACAGCAACAGAGATCGTGGGGGCCATGAACTGCTTGGTGCAAGGGTGGCTCATTGGGCAGGGCAAGCTCACCTATGGGTTTATGGTCACCAACAATGGGGCCAATATAGGGAAGGTGGCATATGATGACAACTTTGTTGGCATCCACTGTGTGGCACACAAGTTCCACCTTATAGTCAGGGAGGCCTTGCAGGGGGATGGCTGCTGGTGACATCGCCAGCACTGTCAGCAAGCTCATTTCAAAATGCAGGAAGGTGGCAGGCTACTTCCACCGAAGCAGAAAGGGGGGCAAGATACTGTGGGACAAACAAGCAGAGCTGAACATCCCAATGCACAAAATCATGCAGGATGTGGAGACTCAGTGCAACTCCACATACCTGATGCTCGAGAGGCTGGTGGAGCAACAGAAGGCCACCCGTGAGATGGTCTTGCTTTGGAAGATTAGGATCAGCATCCCCTTTAACAGAGATGAATGGGATACCATCTCCCAGATCTTGGTGGTCCTCAAGCCCTTCCTTGAGGCCAGCGAGACTCTCAGCACTGGCAATGCCCTCCTTATCCAGGTGATCCCTGTAGTGAGGGAACTTCAGAGCCAAATGGAGAGCTTCCAGGGGATCAGTGTTCCTGGCTGGGGCAAGCTGTTGTCACGAGATGTGCAGACACTGGTGTGGCGGCTGAAGGAGGGTGTCAGGAAATGGCTTGCTCCCTTGCAGTCCAGTATGGTCCATGTGCTGGCTGCCATGTATGACCCGAGGGTGAATGGCAGCATCTGCAGTAGTCAAAGCCTGAATCAGTGGATGGAGCTGCAGGTGAAGAGAGTCAGGAAGGCAGAATGGCAGAGGTGGAGGGATGTGGAAGAGGGGGATCCACTGTCCCATGCCAGCATGCCATCCACCAGCCAGTCTCCTCCTCTACTACAGGTGCTGCCAATATGGGCCAAGGGCATGGCTTCCATGCTGGGGTCCAGAGGCACCAGACTCCACCATCAGGCAGGTAGCGCGCATGCTTTGGTGGCTGCCTATCTTGCTGAGGACATGGAGCTGCTGCTGTGCAACCCCTTGGCCTCCTGGGCAAGCCATAGCAAGATGTGGCCAGATATGGCCACAGTTTCCCAGAAACACCCTTCCTGTCCACCAACCAGTGTTCCAAGGTGAGAGGGTGTTCAGCATTGCTGGTGATGTAGTGACACCCCACCATACTTCTTTGGATCCTGGTTTGGTGGAGCAGCTGGTGTTCCTCAAGGTGAACCTCCTGCTGCTGGGGTTCCCCAAGCTCCAGGTGCAGATTGAGTGAATGCCCCTCTCCTAACTCTGTCCGCACCTATTTCCTTTTCTCATTTTTTAAAAATAATTGAATGCCCCGCTCTCAAACCTGAAGGGGGCACTCACTACATCACCAGCCGGCAGAGAAAGAACATGTCTCTGCTGAGCTCCGATGGTAGGATGAACTTGGAGGTATGGACTGGGGCTGTGAGAAAAGAGTAGGCCCCAGGTCCTGGGCGTGACCACTAAAACTTCACTCTGCCAAGGTTAGGAGCCCTGGTGGGACTGATGGCAGCCCAGCAGCCCTGTAAATGCCAGGACCGAGGATCCCCCTGGTGAAAGGCAGGTAGGAGGCACCATAACCTCCAGGTACCACATGCATGCACACAGTTCTGGCTGGGGAAAGCCCAGACCTGTCACATCTTTGACAGGCCTGAGGCATGCTGGTTGCAGTGAAGTTGTGGGGCTTCAGGTGAGCTCAGCTTAGTTGCTTGGGATGCCAGCTTTCAGGTCAAAAAACCCTTTGTCTGGCTGAGGAAGCACCTGCAGTTGGTGTGTGTACTGTTCTTGGATGGAATGAATAGTAAAGGACCCAGAGGCTGGCCTGGCATGCAATGCAAGCAAGAAATCCAGTCAGTGAAAATGGAAATGAAGGCATCAGGAGATGTAGCAGCACAGGTAAAAGTGCAGAAGTACCTGGAGAGTCAGATGTCCGTCAGGTTGTAGCATGTCAGAATTCCACTGTCTACATTGAGTTCATGAGTTTCGGTAACTATTCAGTTGATCTACTAAAAGATATCAAATTAGATTGACCCAAATAACCTTGTCTGGCAGTGCCATGTTCTTAGACCAACACCCCTAGCACCTGTCCCCGGTCAGCTGACCAGAAGGAAGCAGGGCCCTGGGCACATCTAAGCCCTAGAGCTTGGGCTGGCAAGGAGAGTTCTCTAGCAGTTGCTGGAGAAGAAGCTCCTGCAGGAAAGGAAAGAAAGGCTCTATCACAGTTTGGCTGCCTGAGATGCTGCTGGTGATACTGTGCTGCTTACTAAGTTATTACCTGTTGTCATTTAAAATGGTGGACCAGTTGAGGCTGTAGGAGAGGAGGAGACTTCATGGAGGCACACTACCTTGTCGTGTAGAGGCTCCAGCACCAGTGAGGGCATGTCTTAACACACACACAGTCACACGTCACGAGTTTTGCTTGTCAGCAGCTTGAGGTGCAGTTTCCCAGAAACCTCTGCACCTATCTCCTTGAAACATGGCAGGCTTCTTGGCCTCAGCAGGGACTACCATGCCTGCAGTTTTCATCCTGCTGTGTCTTAACACGCACACCTGACACGAGCATTGCTTGTCAGCAACTTGAGTTGCAGTTTCCCAGAAACCACTGCACCTATCTCCTTGAAACTTGGCAGGCTTCATGCCCTCAGAAGGGGCTACCATCTCTGTTGTATGCATCCAAATCAGGCAAGAAAGGACAAAGTTATAGGCAGTTTGATGCTTCCCCATTATAGCCTATGGGTGAAACAATGAAACAGATTTGAAACAGTGAAACATTTTTAACAAAATGAAACAGAACATTGCTTCAAAACTACATGAAACTCAAAATGAAACACTGTCCCATCAAAATGGTGAAACAGAAGTTAAAACAAAATGGTGCTGTTTTGCACAGCCCTAGCTAGCATACAAGTGTGAACTGTGTGGGTGTGTGTGCATGTGGTTTTTTTCTACCCATGTACCAAGCAATATCTGACAGGTTTTCCAGCATTTTCTATAACAGTTAATTTAGATGGAATATCTTTTTTCCTATTCACAGAGGGCACATTACCAGCATATTCTTTCAGATAGGTGATTTATGTTCCTATTATACCAATCAAAAATATTTTGTCCATCTCCTTGCTAACTCAGTTATTTTTCCTCTTTTCTTGCAGAATGATTCCTGGGGAAAGCAGTACTCATACGCACTCTTCAAAGCTATGAGTCATATGCTTTGCATTGGTTACGGAGCCCGGGCCCCTGTCAGCATGTCTGATCTTTGGATTACCATGTTGAGTATGATTGTGGGGGCTACATGTTATGCCATGTTTGTTGGTCATGCCACTGCCCTAATTCAGTCTTTGGATTCCTCTCGACGGCAATACCAAGAGAAGGTAATTATTGTTTTTACATATAACTATTTTACTTCCAAAAGTTATTACCAAGATTTTTAAATTTAGAACAAAGCTTCACGTATTACCATGATATAACCTAGCAGTGATCTTTACTGGGTATGCAGAAATACAGAAAAACAGTGGAACAAATCATCCTTGGAGTGAATCCATCAAAGTCAGTAAATATGCAGGTCTAAAAATTTGAAACATAAGTTAATAACTGTGTTTTGAGGTTTAAAATGTAATGTGAATCACTGATCCTTGAGCCCATTACTAACCAACTGCTAAAAATGGAAAATTAAGTTGCTGCAGTGTCAGTAATGGTTCCTGTGAATTTCTGAAATACTCAGAAAATATTGCTATTTCCCTTGACACCCTGGTGTTCCAACAGACTGCAGTAATACTGTTATTGTTCTGGTGGGAATAAGGACTGCAGGATCTGACCCTTTTGAGTGGTTTTCAGTTGCGGTGCCACATAGGGTGCTACAAGTCTATAAGCATATATTTAGACTGCAATCCAAACACCTATCCAAGAAAACTTTAACTTGGTTGGGTCTTCATCATAATGTGCTTGAGGAAGCACAGGGTTCAGTGCAGGCTACTGGGGCCCTCTGTATATACGCAGGTATCTAGTTCATACAAAGCTTCATGCTTCCATGAAGATACTGGAGCCTAATAATTTAAATCTGGTTTGAGCATGTGTATTTGAGTCTTTGGACTGTAGAGACATACTCCAAGGGATATCCCAAGGAGTTCTTAAAGAAAGAATAAGAAGATAGATAAATCTAGGGGAAAGGGAATAACAAATACTGAATCATTTTTATGATACAGGTTAATTACAATTGGTTTCTTTTGGGCACGTTAAAAGTAGGTGTTTTAAAGGATCTAAAAGATATACAGATTAGAGCTCCATGCTGATCTCAAGAAGGTGGTGCTAAGCATTTGAGAGCTCTGTGAATGAAGAATAGAGACAA